TACTCATAGGAAGTAAAATTTTTTTTTTTTTATCAAAGGTATATGTAAATTACAATTTTTAAACTTTTATATTTAGATATTATTTAAGTAAAATTAATGGCACAGACTACAAAACTATCTAAGTCATTTCTCAGATTTATTAAACTTTATGTATTAATTCAAGTTTAAGTATGTATATGAGGTTACATATTTTTTTTTTTTTTAAATTTTTTTTTTAAATATATGGTAACTTAATTTCACTGATTTAGTAAACTTTTATGTTTATATAAAACCTAGTAATATAATGTTTCTCATGTAAGTACAAAGGACATGGGTCATTCAAAAAGCTTACATCTTATGGCATTTCATATTAATTTTATTTTACTATAGGTGTTTTTTGTTTTTTTTTTTGATTTTTTAGTGTGTAGTATTATTTAAAAAGAATTTAGGTTAGAATTCATTCAATTTAACTATAATTTTAATTTCAATTTTAAAATTACAAACTTTAAAATTTTTAAAATATTTTCGTTGTTAGTTTTAATAGACTATATTACTTTATAACAGAAGGAAAATTACTCATAGTAAGTAAAATTATTTTTCAATATCAAAGTATATGTAAATTACAATTTTTAAACTTTTATATTTAAATATTATTTAAGTAATATTAATGGAACTTACTACAAAACTAGCTAAGTCATTTCTCAGATTTAGTAAACTTTATTTATTAATTAATTTATTTATTTTAAATATATGTAACCTAAGTAATAAAGTTTCATATGAATGTACAAAGAACAGGTTAAAATTCATTTTATTTAACTACAATTTTAATTACAATTTTAAAATTACCACTTTAAATTTTTAAAATATTTTCATTGTTAGTTTTAATAGAATATATTACTTTATAACAGAAGGATAATTACTCATAGTAAGTAAAATTATTTTTCCATATCAAAGTATATATAAATTACAATTTTTAAACTATTATATTTAAATATTATTTAAGTAATATAAATGGCACAGACTACAAAAACTATCTAAGTCATTTCTCAGATTTAGTAAACTTTATGTATTAATTAATTAATTTATTTATTTTAAATATATGTAACCTGAGTAATAAAGTTTCATATGTATGTACAAAGAACAATGGGTCATACATTACCTTACATCATCTAGCTTTTGTTATAATTTCATTTTTCAGTTGGTGTTTTATTGGATTCATTCAAGTGTTTGTAGTACATTTATTATAGAGGTGTTTCTGTTAGGATACATTTTTATTTAACTACAATTTTTAAAAGATGCTTATGTTTTGAATACGTTTTAACTACAATTTTAAATTTTAAATTTTTTTTCCTTTAAATCATTTTTCCAGCCATTTTAGACTTTTTTTTTTTTTTTTTTTTATATATTATTTAAGGAAAATTTTTGACAATGACGGCATATAATAGCTATTTCATTTCTCTGATTCAGTAAATTTTTTTTTTTTATAAACTTAGTAATATATAGTTTTTCTTGTATGCATAGAGGACACGGGTCGTTTAATGATCTACAAATTCTAGCTTTTCTTATTAACTTCCATTTTACTGTAGGTGTTTTATTTGATTCTTTTTATATATAGAAATATTTTTGAGAGATGTTTGATTTTTATATTTATTTATTCTAAATGAAGTTTGATGTTGGTTGAATCTTTTTTTGAATTCATGGCTAGTGCAACCTATATATATTTTTTATGTTATCAGGACTTTCAATCGAAGAGATATTGCATTGGTATACTAATGATTCAGTATGACATTTATTTTGTAGTGGGCAATTTTGAGGGTTTCTACAGTTACATAGTTTTTGTTTATTTCATCAGTTTTTATCCTAATTTTTCCATTGTCTAAACTTTTTTTTGGTTTTGGTATAAGTGTTTATTTAAGATATTAGCATTATGGTTCTTAATGATTTTTTTTTAAGTTTTTTTACAGCTATAACTTAATTTTAGTGTGTTTTTATTGAAAATAGTACTTAGTTTACTTTCACTAGGAAAATGCTTGACTATTAATGCGAGGAATTTATGTCCTAATCTGTTCTTTACCATTTGGTTATATGGGGAGTATACCAAATAATTTTTCTATATCTGTTTTTTTCTATGCTTTCCATTTTCATTTTTTATATAAGTTAGTTTTTTTTTTTGTAGCCACTATCTTTTAGAGCCTTATTATAGCAATTGATATGCTCATCAAAAAAATTATTTTATTTGCTGAATTTGTACTAATTCGTTTACTGATATATAACGGTATATGTTTAATTATAGATGGGGGTGATTTGATTTAGGATGTATATATAAAGGATTGGTGTTGGGTTTTTATAAGGTGTGTATGTATTTTTTATTTAGATCTAAAGTTATATCTAGGAAGTCTTTTTTTTTTTTTTTGTACTAACCGTAATTTTTTAAGCCCATGCTTTTAAATTCTTTATATAATAAATTTCTAATTCTATCTATTTTGAATTAGTTCGTTGAGTATTCTAATAACCAATGCTTTTATAAATATATCGTCTTCAGACGACATCCATTCAACTGATGTCAGGTTTCATTGTAAAATACATACCTACCCCCTTACCAAATTGTAGCTAATAATTGATACAATGATACTGACATAAGAAAAATCTAGACAACCCTTGTTCAATTTAAGTTAGAATATTCTGTAACCATGGAAACGTGATTTTAGCTGTGTCTTTAAAAACCGGTAATTTTTAAAAGTTACTCCAAAATTCGCTTGAAGATGAAATGGAACTAATGCTTTTAATTTAATTGCAAAATTAAATTGGGGGTTTTAAATTTATTTATGAAAAATTTATGGTTGAACTTTGTAAGGAAAAAAAATATTTTAAATCAATTAATTTATAATATATATATATTATAAATTTATTTAAAATATGTTGGAAAAATATATATATATATATAAATGAATTGTAATATGTTTTATATATAGAAATATGTAATATGTAATATATTCTATATATATATATATATATATGTTATTATATATATATATATATATATTTCTCTCTATATATATATTCTATATATATATATGTTCTATATATATAAATATGTTTAATGTATATATAAATTAATTGTAATATGTTTTATATATATAAAATTAATTATAACATCTTTATATATATATATATATATATATATACAAATTAATTGATTTAAAATATTTTTTTCACAGTTCTATATATATATCGGATTATATATCTTACTGTTCTTTCTTTTTATTTATACACACACACACACACGCACACACACACACAACATATATATATATATATATATATATATATATATATATATATATATATATGTATAAATTTTGTTAGTATTTTAATTATTTTTTATTCGGATTTCTTTATATTTTGAATAGCTTAGTGTTATGGATTTGATTTTGAAAATCAAAAATAGTTTTGCTTTCGTACATAAATAGTTATCACAAAATAAAATTCTTACATTTGCCTTAATAAAGCCCATCAGAGGACGAAACGCGTCACTAAGATACATTTTATTTTTGTTTTTATTCATATTATCCTTTTTTTTTAAACAATCTGACATGTTTACACACACACACACATCTTTTATATATATATATATATATATATATATATATATATATATATATATATTTGGCAGGGGGATCACAAGGCTTATAGACAGTACCATCTGTCTGTGCTGAGCGTCCGCCAGTTGCCCAGTCGGGCCCAATTGTTGTATGCACCAACGACCCTCGGAAATGCTGTCTATGAAATAAAAGTACCTGCTTTCATCAAAGAGTGAGTCTTTATCCCTCTGAGAGCTCACATAAACCGACAATGGCAGTTTCGGAAAATACGGTATTTACTCTGTCCCCCAGCTAGGACGAGATGTGCCACAAGGTCTATTTTTAGGTGGGGACCCGAGCGCGTACGCCCGGGAGAAGAACAAATAATTCCCCTCAGCCTCCTCAACCGTCGGTTGCGCTGGCCTCGGTGTGAGCACCGATCCCTCCCTCTTGTGCAATGGGAGGGCGTGCCCTCGGGCAGCTGTTACCCAGGGCTGGGCACTTCTTCAGTATTATTTTCCTCAGTTTCCACTCTGTTCTTTGACAGAGAACTCCCTGAGGGCACTCTGTCCAAAAACAGAGATGCAACGGAGAGATGAGAAGTAAACGTGAACTTACTCAATAATGTATACACTTCGGAAAATACCAACAAGCCATCTTCTAAAAAAACATAAATAAAAAAAAGCATACAACGTGGGTTTGACTAGTTTTTAGTCGTGTACCCGGGGTGTAACCACAAAGTGAAGTCAAAGTAATTCAAACAACGCGCATGCGCTAAATTAAAAATATAAATAGCGACAATTTATCCATCGCATCATGTATAGTAATTGATATTAGTCATTGGAAAACATCTGCATTGTCTAATCTCTTTTCTTTCTGATCTCATTCTTCCTTGTTTATCAGTGCATTCTTAAATCACGGAAGTCATGTTCTTTTAAAAGCAGCCATTTGCATTTTTCCAGAATCAAACGCTATTTTCCTCAAATTTACTACGCGTACACAACATCTTCTTGAAAGAGAAAAAAAGGACTTTAAACCCAACATGTAACTATCAAGAAATCATTTAATTATTTTAAATTTCCCCGACAAGATACGTTAGACAGTTTCAGTAGAATTTAAAGTAGAAGAAGCCATATTTGCTAATATTCGGCCACTTTTTACTTATTTATCCATATTCTGCTGATATTAACTTCCTCAATATTCACATATATGAGGAAGACACATTATCACATGTCGAATATGGGTAAGTGTAGTAATAAAATAATCAGATCGCATCTCCTTCACGCTTGTAACCATTCATCACAATTAGAAATAACCGTTTAACAATACTAAAGCTGAATAAGTCAAATAAAGGTTAAGCTTCTATATATTGTTGCAATATTACAATATGTCTATTTGTCCAAGTGTCTATCTATCTATCTATCTGAGATATTAACAAACTCAAACAGCTAATGAATGAAATGAGATAGATAGATAGATAGATAATGAACAGAGTAAGATAGATATGAACAGACTGTGATAGATGATATGAACAAATTGAGATAGATAGATAGATAGATAGATAGATAGATAGATAGATAGATAGATAGATAGATATGAACTGAAAATCAGATAGATAGAAAATGGACAAACTGAGATAGATAGATGGATGTGAATAGACTGGGATAGATAGATAGATAGAGAGAGATAGATGTGACAAACTGAAAGAGATAGGTAGATTAATGCAGAGATGTGAACAGACTGAGATAAATACAGAGAGAAAGAGAGAGAGAGAGAGAATGAGAGAGAGATGTGAATAGACCGGGTTACATAGATAGATAGATGTGACCAACTGAAATCGATAGATTCATAGATAGATGTGAACAGAGTGAGATAGAGAGAGAGAGAGAGAGAGAGAGAGATTGATGTGAACAGACAGAAATTTAGAATAGATAGATAGAGAGATAGATATGAATAGACTGAGATAGCTAGATAGCTTGATAGATAGATAGATAGATAGATAGATAGATAGATAGATAGATAGATATGAACATCCTGAGAAAGAAAGTTGATACGTACGAAAGACTATATATATATATATATATATATATATATATATATATATATATATATATATATATATATATATACTATTCATCCGAAACGCATGCATGGACAGGGATAGATAGATAGATAGATAATGAACACTGAGATCGATAAATAGATAACAGACTGAAATAGATTATGAACAGTGATAGATAGATAGCAGATTGAGATAGATATATAATGAACAGTGAGACAGAAAGGTGGATACGTACAAAAGTCTAATATATATATATATATATATATATATATATATATATATAATATTCACCCGATCGATGAATATCTATCTATATAGACTTCATTGATTCTACTTGTATTTGTGCGTCGTTGTGCCTGTGTATGTATGCAATATGACCCGGTATTTGGCTGTTTATGAGACAAATCGTAATAATCTCCCTTGAAAACGATGGCCAGAGTTCTGTCTAGCCTCATTCTTCAGACAACCTCAATGTCTTTTTCTTTTTGTAAATCGCACGCCAATCTATTTAAGCGTAAAATCCTTTTAAAGGTTCTTTAGTCGAATTTCGTTTAATTCCGACATCGTTCGAAAACATTTGATGCAGAATTTTGAGTGGAACAAAAATGACAGGCTCTCGGCCGCCAGCCCCTCCGGTGGCTCTCCCCTGATTCACCTCCCCGCTAATACATCCCGTCATAAACCGACGCCCATCTTTACATTAAATTGTTGGCCAAATTTTTTTTTATTACCGGTCTTTCTATTAAACATTTAACTTCGGAGTTTTAACTCCAAAGATTTTTGATCTCCGAATGTCAGTCATTTGCAAAAGATTATTTTAAATGCCCTTTTTCTGTGATTAGAAACAACCAGAAACAGAAACTAGGCAACATGCTAAAGAAATGGAATGAAACGAGAACAATGAATATATTATTGTAATAAAGAAAATTGTTACACAACACACACACACACACACACATATATATATATATATATATATATATATATATATATATATATATATATCCGATGCGCTGTGAAAGAAAGTAATATATAAATTTCAACGTTGACAGCATTAATCCAAAAGAGGGCTCGATACCGATAGTAGAGCGATAATTATTTATTTATTATAATTTTATCATATAGACAAAACCATTTTACTCACTACAAAGATGCAACTTCTTTTCAGTGCATTTCAACTGCACTTCGACGGGTGAGAATCGAAAATGGTTAACCATCAACGATGAGAACGAAAGTAATATATAAATGGTTAACCTCATCTTTATTAAAATATTCACGACGTTTCAGCCGTTGTAATCTCCGGCCTTCTTCAGGATCTGTCTACATTACTGAGGTGAGATATTTTAGCCATTTACACTATTTACATTTGCTCGGAATGTTGATATCATTTTTATTGTCATATTCACGACGTTTCGGCCGTTGTACGTTCTGGGCTTCTTCTCGTGATATACGTTGGAATTTCAAACCGAGACCTTTATTTAATCCACTGGAGTATATTTATCTAATTCCACATACCATGCCTTATTTGGATATCTCACTTTCAGTTTTTTCTCCTGATGATGGCCATGCCTGGCCAATGAATGCAATTTAAATAATTAAAATAAAAATACTAATATACAAGTCTGAAAATTTTAATTAAAATGTTTTTCTTCTGTTCAAAACATATATATATATATATTTGAGTGTATGTGTGTGTGTAATAAAGAAGATATATATGAAGGTGTGTACAATAATGAAGATATATATGAAGGTGTGTGCTGTTGACTACATACATCTATGTATATTAACACAGACTGCACACTCCTGCCCCAAATCTTAAGGGCCGTGAAAATAAATAAGAATATGCCCTTTGCGTTGTTAGACACAACCACTTATTTGAAAAGATATTTGAAAAATGTAAATAAGAAAAGGAAAAATAAAAATTAACATTTTATAAATAATCAAAAGTATTAACATTTAAAATGGAATACTGTCTTCATATGTACGAGTTGTTTGTATATGGCTGCATTATTTATTGAAAAATCATAAAATGGATTTTGAGACTTCCAGGAAATATTCGTATTGGTAGTCTAAAATATGAATAGATTGATATATATATATATATATATATATATATATATATATATATATATATATATATATATTTATTTATTTCTATTTATCTCTGTTTTCATATATATATATATATATATATATATATATATATATATATATATTATGAATCATTCATACAAAAAGTAGATTAATAAATTTAATGATATATAAAATGGCGAAAACTCTTCGCAAACAAAATTTTAAAGGTGCATTAACCTACGAACCACTCGATGAATATTATGATCCTTGTTTTTAATAACTACACGCTGTATAAAGTCTTTTTTAATCTGCAAGTACTTTCAACTGTACATACAGTCATCTTCAGGCATGGAAATTATTTTGTTTTTTGTAAATCCAGGTAGCATTGGATACGAAAGATTAAATGTGAATCGTTTTTTTAGAAATGTTTTATTGGAAACGTATAAAAATTTTATTTTGTTTGTGAAGAGTTTTTGCCATTTCATTAAATTAACTTTACTAATCTACTTTTTGTATGAATGATTCATTGTAATATAAAATGAACTGCACCACATATTTGATTTAAAAGAACCTCCTCGACTTTCTACATAATTAAGTTTTCAAAATGCAGGCTGTTGCAATTGCTGATAACATGAGGATAATGAGATTGGTGAAAAATAAATAAGTAGTCATAATGTATATTCTGTAACGAAGCATATCTGTGGAAATGAACTTTAAAATGAGTCAATAAAACTCAACTTGAAAAACTAAAGAACGATAACTCCTTCATTTTATCAATAATCGAGAGATCGCACGTTCCTCTCCATTGCAGGAGACAACCAGAAAAAAATGAGGAAAAATAAAATGGAAAATAACTTAGTGCCGGCAAAAATCGATACTAATGGAATTAATAAAAATATATAAATCGATCTTTGGAGAGTACTTAAGTGCATATTTGTAAGTGCGTCTAATTTTTTCTCCTCTCAATGGATGTTCTCCGCCCACCTTGTTCTTTATGGACAACGCTAAAATGCATTGTACTTGTTCACGACAACTAGATAAGAATGGAGTGCTCGGTCTGGACCAAGAAGTCCGAGAGTTTAGTTTATTTTACTTCTATTCTTAATATTATGTGTTTACTGATGACGTCAGAATGTGATTAGAAGGTTGAAGCAATCTCGGCACTTATCGTTCAACGCATAAAATACTTTAAAAAAAAATGGACAGTTTCTGATATTGTGGATGGCGCTTCGGCTTGTGATAATATTTCACTACCACTTCAGTGTTGGAGGCTCGCAGGACGGCTCATAACAAAATTAAACTAGTAATAACTTGATATATACATATTGAAATGACGTCAGTTAAAATGCATTTTCATAGTAAAATCATTTCCAACGCATTTTAATGAAAAAAGTTATTGGCCAATACTTATTCATGGTAAAAATCATTGGCAATGCATTTTCATAGTAAAAATCATTGGCCAATGCATTTTCACTGTAAAAATAATTTCCAATGCATTTTCATAGGAAAAGTTATTGGGCAATTGATTTTCATAGTAAAAATCATTGGCAATGCATTTTCATAGTTAAAACATTTTCAGTGCATTTTCATGGTAAAAATTATTGGCCAATGCATTTTCATGGTAAAAATCATTGGCAAAGCATTTTTATAGTAAAAGTCATTGGCAATGCATTTTCATAGAAAAAATCATTGGTCAATTAATTTTCAGAGCCAAAATCATTTTCCAATGCAATTCCATAATAATAATCATTGGCCACTGCATTTTCCTAATAAATATTTTTGGCCAATAAATTTACACAATAAAAATTAATGGCAAGGCATTTACATAGTAAAAATCATTGGCCAGTGCATTTTCATAGTAAAAATCATTGGCCTATGCATTTTCATAGTAAAAATCATTGACCAATGCGTTTTCATAGTAAAATCATTGACCAATGCATTTTCATAGTAAAAATCATTGACCAATGCATTTTCATAGTAAAAATCATTGTCCAATACATTCTCATAGTAAAAATCATTGACCAGTGCATTTTCATTGTAAAAATCGTTGGTCAATGCATTTCATAGTAAAAATCGTTGGCCTATGCATTTTCATAGTAAAAATCACTGGATAATGCATTTTCACAGGAACAATCATTGGTCAATGGTTTTCATGGGGAAATTATTGGCATGCATATATAGTAGAAAAATTGGCGAATGCATTTTCATAACAAAAATTGTTCGCATTTTCCCTTTAATATAGCACATCTTAAAACTATATTTCTTCATATATATATATATATATATATATATATATATATATATATATATATATATATATATATATGTGTGTGTGTGTGTGTGTGTGTGTGTATCACTAGAATTTTAATCTTCTTATGTTTCCGTCTAAGTAAGATACTTTTTCTTTTTAATAAGTCTCCTGTTCAATTTTCTGGTTGAATTTATTTCTATAAAATATATGAAGATGAATTTTATACATTTGATAAATTGTTGTCTATGAGATTCTTTTTTGTGTTACATAGGAAATCATTTACTTTACCGCCATGTTGAATATAATTTGCAATACGATTGCGCAGCAAATCATTTAATATAGAACTTCATTGGAAATCATTTACTACAAGGTTGATTGAACGATAAATCCTTAACTGTAATAGACTGAATTTGAAATTATGTACCACAGAGAAACTTCTTTGGAAGTCATCTTGTATAGAGATGTAATTTTAATCATCTGTTATAGAAATGGTACTGGAATTATTTTCGATATATGGATATTCTTCGTCACTTGATCTCCAACCAAACTGTTCACATGCGTCTGAAGAAAAAAACTAAAAACTAAGACTTCTAAAATATAGGAAATGTCTTTCTCATTTCTTGGGACGAAATTGCATTTGTAGGTGAAGTCTTGAAGCTGTCATTTCAATTTGGAAACTGATTAAATTAGATGTTCTTTGTCAGAAAGAAATTAGACGGGAAAAGAAGCAAAGAATTCTGAGAAAATCAGGATCTTTGACGACATTTAAATGGACATGATTCATGGTGCCGTCTGGCAAAATCGAAAATGATTTCGAAATTGGAAACGATTTGGTTTGTATATGACAAAATAATACCCACTGGTCATCAATCAATTTATTAAATTTTATTGATTCATTACTGATTAATATATATATATATATATATATATATATATATATATATATATATATATATATATATATATATATATATATTTTTTGTGTATTTATTTATCTATATTTTATTTTTCATATTTTCATATCTATTTTTTAATTTATTCATGATCTATTTATCTATTTATCTATCTATCTATCTATCTATCTATCTATCTATCTATCTATCTATCTATCTATCACAGTCTGTTCATATCTATCTATCTATCGATCTCAAGATGTTCATAACTATCTATCCATATATCAGTCTGTCTTTAACTTTTTCAAGTTGTTCATATCTATCTATCTATCTATCTATCTATCTATCTATCTATCTATCTATCGACATGATTGAATCAACGCTATTCACATAAGTGATAAGTTTCTCCACATTAATTCTATTAACGCACGTTAGAACAAAAAACAAAAAATCTGCCTGTATGAAATGCTTTCCCACCAGTATACTACATAAAAAAAAACCAGCAATTTTTTGGCACCAAAAACAGTTATAACTTATATAATACTATATATATATATATATATATATATATATATATATATATATATATATATATATATCGCATTAAAAATGAAATCTAAAATTACCTCATTTTTAATATAATTATTTTTAAATATATTCTTTTTTACATTTAATATAAATTATCTAAATATAACTTATTTTTAATTCTTTAAACATATTTTATTTTAAGTATAATTTATCTTCGAAGAATACTTTTAAGTAAAAAATTAAACTTATATATATATATATATATATATATATATATATATATATATATATATATATATATATTTTATAAAAACAAATAAAACTTTTTACGGTTCTTTTTTACTTTCAAATTAACACTTCATTTTTCAAATAACCCCAATTTAATGTCATATGGTTAATATCCGAGTTTAATTTTATAAAACCTCTTCACTTTAGGACTAATGACTACCACCCTCCCCTCATCGCTAACTCGTGCATTTCGTCTGACTGAAACATTGAAATGGATAAATTATGTATCGATTTTTCGATGGCTGTCACAGTTAAATTTCTAATTCCGACACGAACTCAGTCTATACACTGGAGTTGAATAAGACTGAAAAGGTTTTGAAATAGATCTAACTCCCCCCCACCCGTATGTGGTAATTTTAGATTTTGTTGTGTAATACTATTTATTGGCACTGTTATGATAAATACACTGATCTCTTTATGTGGATCAGTTTTAATATTTTATATTACTAAGATCCACTTGGATTATATACCAACGAATTTATTACCTTTACTATATATATATATATTCCGAAAAATTTTCATAGAAAATATGCGTCCTCCGACAGGAATCGAACCTGTATCCTACACGGAACCGTCATATAGCCTGACGTGCTTTTACCGATTGGGCCACAGAGGAACGTTCGATTAGCAAGGCCGATTTTACTGTTTTGAAAGACAATTCTCCATGATTTTCTTTCGTACATTCATATCTGCTCAATGCGTATCCAAAGGGTTTTGGCTAAATATTTACCCGACGTTAAGCCGAACTGCGCTACGAACAAGGTATTCACTGAAAGAGTTAATTATCTTCGGTTGAATTTTACTTCTTTGTTCTTGTTAAGTATTTATTATTGTAGTTAAATACAGTTTTATCTTAACATTGAAGTCTTGAGTTATACTTAATTATTAATGGCCACCGTACGTCACAAAAAATGAACAGAGATCCAAGAACATTGAAAAAAATATCTTTATAAATCTTGCAAAAGGATATTTTTTTATGAAAATTAAAAGGAAATGTAGATTAATGAAGTAGACATATTTGAAGATGCAGGTGTTGCGAATTTAAAGAGGGAGTGAAAAAATCGGAAACTTTATGCATAAGAGATAATGAAACGACAACTGCTAAATTGAGATGTTTAAAGGGGGACGTTTATACCTACAACCTACAACCCTTTTAATAGTCAGTGATATACCATCTATCTATCTATCTATCTATCTATCTATCTATCTATGTCTGTTCAGATCTATCTATCTATCGCAGCCTGTTCAAATATACCTATCTCAGTTTGTTATCTATCTATCTATCTATCTATCTATCTATCTATCTATCTATGTCTGTTCAGATCTATCTATCTATGTCTGTTCAGATCTATCTATCTATCTTTGTTATTCATCTATCTATTCATCTATCTATCTATCTATCTATCTATCTATCTATTCTATTATCTATCTATCTATTTGTTCATCTATCTATCTATCTATCTATGTCTGTTCAGATCTATCTATCTATCTATCTATTTCTATTCATCTATCTATCTATCTATCTATCTATCTATCTATCTATCTATCTATCTATCTATCTATCTATCTCAGCCTGTTCAAATATACCTATCTCAGTTTGTTATCTATCTATCTATCTATCTATCTATCTATCTATCTATCTATCTATCTCTGTTCAGATCTATCTATCTATCTCAGCCTGTTCAAATATAGCTATCTCAGGTTGTTATCTATCTATCTATCTATCTATCTATCTATCTATCTATCTATCTATCTATCTATGTCTGTTCAGATCTATCTATCTATCTATCTATCTATCTATCTATCTATCTATGTTCAGATTATCTATCTATCGTTATGCCTGTTAAAATATATCCTATATCACGATTATCTATCTATCTATCTAAATCTATCTATCTATCTATAGCTATCTATGTTTGACTTCAGTTGGCATTTTTCTATATGTGGTAGATCAAAGTATTGTTACCTATCTCAGTTTGGTCTATCACATCTATCTATCTATCTATCTATCTTATCATATCTATCTATCTCGCCTGTTCAATCCTTCTATCTATCTATCTGTTTATCTATCTATAATCTCCATCTATTCAAATCTAATGTTAATCGACATCTCCAGTTTTATTTGATCTATCCATCTATCCCTCTCCTCATCCTTTCTCTATCACTCCCTATCTGCTCTATCCAAATATTCTGCAACCCCTGCATCCTAGTGGCTTCACGCCTTGCTCTTCGTAATGCTTAAAAAAAAAAAAAACAAAACATAGACGATCTCATATTTATAAAACGTCTTTCCAATCTATCTATCTATCTATCTATCTTCTATCTAACAACTTTTCAAATTCTTCTTCATCTATCATCGAGCCTGTTCAAAATAACACCAACTCAGTTTGATATCTTTCTGGACACTACTTTATCTATCTATCCATCTCTTGCTATCATCATTATATCTAAAGAGTTTTATAATCATATATACATTAACAAAGAATCTAACTATCCTGGAATTGTAAAACCTGAACAAATCTATCTATCAATCACAGACTGTTCAAATATACCCATCAACAAAATTTGTTTTTGATCTATCAAACTAAATATAGATGAACTTTTAAAAGAAACTATCTTAAACTAGGATACATTCTAAACATTAATAAGAATATCTATCTCGTAAGAATAGAAAACATCTAATCTTCAACCCATTTTAACAGTAATGTCAAAATCAACATAGATCAGGATTTTCCTAGTTTAATCCACAAACATCTCAGTCATTCTATTTATCTACTCAACAAAATCTTCTTCAAAAATACTGAGCTTTAGTTATGCTCTAGAAAATTCCTATTCATCTATACATTTTATCTATCATATCTAATTTTAAACAAATTCTATCTATCTTAACACCTATCTATTAACACAGAAAAAATCTTAAATCTATCTAAAAGGCATTAACTGTCCGATGTTCAAATTTATGTATAAATCTCAGTTTCAGGTTATCATTAAACATCTATCTATCTATCTATTATTTCATTCCATCTATCTATAGCTGGAAAACAATCTCTATCATCATAAAATGAAATTTAACAATAAGCAATATACAAATATCACGGTACTCTATCTATTTTACTGGGATATTAAACAGATGACTATATGTCTGGTTTGTCTGTCTCTTTTGTCATCTAAACTATCTATCTATCTATCTATCTATCTAAACCAATGCAACCTATGTTCGTTCAAAAAATTCATCCTCAAAAATATTAATGTTCAAATATACCTAATAAAAGAAATTGTTATGTTATATTGTCAATCACACGCATCTTTTTCTCATAAATTATTTATATCTGTCTGAATTCATATATTATCCGAATATCAAATACAAACTCCCATATTTTAGGTCTTAGTATTGATTAAATTTACCATTTTAACGTCTGTTTGTTATTAATATAAAATGGTACTCTTTTAATTTTGCCCGAATTTTCTTCCATGTGTTCGTATTTTTTTTCTTCTCAACAATTAAAATATTAAAAAAATTCCGAATGTTTTCCAAATTTTGGCTATACTTTTATATATTATAAAGGATGAGTTTTATTTTAAACTTTAACTGAATATAAAACAAAACTGAAAGAAATCTTTATCAATAATTATAGGCATGTTTTATTTTCCAAACCCAAAATAATTGTAAAATTTCATTTCCATAATTAGTCGATGATGCTGGCGTAAATTTTTTTTTTTATTATTAATAATACTTTATTTTTAAGGAAATATAAAAGATGTCCACATGTACAAAATAGCTGTTATCGATGATGCAAAGTAATCTTGTTTATCAACAATTGTTTATTCTTGAGAAACTTAGCAACATTAAACAAACCCCAATCAACGATAATTAAATTAAAAACATTGTCGACAAACATCAATTTATATATAAATATATATATATATAAAATATATATATATATATATATTTTTTAATAAACACACTTTAACTGATTCTATTGTAACAAATACATCCTAATTAAAACAGGATGAAAAAGCAATCAAAACATAATTCATCATCCAACTATTAAACAATGATCGTAAAAAAACCATCTAGGGATTACAGTTAAAATATTAAATCACAATTTTAGATAGTTTCTAGAAGAATGGATGTTTCTAGATAGATCATTCGATAGATTTAAATAGATATGAAAAATGATAATTCAAAAATATAAATAAAAAATTAAGAAAATATGACTATTTTAACACACACAAACAAACACACACACACACACATACACACATATATAATATAAAATGGCGTATGGATTGATAATTTCTTAAAAATGAAAAGGAAAATAATTAATTGTATATTCTAAGAATAATTTTGCTAAAAATTCAAGACTAAAAAAAAAAAAAACTCATCGTGTAATAAATAATTTATCATTCCAAAACTATTAATAAAAAAAAAGTGTTTATCCTTAAATACACTGTTGAATATTATCAGATAACTGCAAAATTTTATTGTTGGTAACATGTTTCACAGGATATCTACTTGAAAAAGAATAAATTGAAATATGAGTTAAATATTGTTTAAATATTTTGAAAATGGATCGAAGAACGATAGATATACTGAGATATTAAATGGGACTAAACATTGTTAACAATTTTTCAAAAATTGCCAAATAAATAATTTCTCCTGAATGGACAAAACCCATTTATTAAAAGGATGAAAAACGTATTCAGCAATTTAAAATAGATAAAAATTTACCGATAAATATCGCTCAATGATCCTAAAAATAATGATTCATCATCCGAAGAAAGAACCGAAAAAACATCTAACTTAAATCAAATTATCTCATAAATCCCATTATGTATGTAAAAATAATATCAAATCTATCAATTATTAAATGATTTATTCGTTCGAATCTCAGTAAGAAAATCATAAACCAAATTAAATACAAACATTGGAAATGCTGTTTTATGTCACAAAGTCCTGTAGGACAATGACTTGTCACCTGCCGAAACTTTGTGTAAATCCATAAATTTAACTAACACCTCACAAGACGACCAAAATTTAAAAAATTATTTAACAAAAATATTTGTTCACTGAATATAAATTAAAATATGAAAGTAATTTAAAGAAATCAAAAAATTGTTAATCTATTTTATGCAATATAAACACTTCACATTGAATAATATACTTTTCACTACAAAGATGGTATCTTGATGTAAAATGATTTAAATGATGTGCGTAATTATTATATATAATATATATAAATTTAACATAAACACACACACATTTGATATATATTTACCTGACGTTAAGCTCCAGCCAATGCACTAATGTCACTATTTACTGAAATGGTTAATTATCTTTGGTTGAAAGTTACTTTTGTTCTTGATACAGGGGTTTGAAGTTTGTGGTTAAAATTAAAGACTTTTATTTTAACATTACAGTCTTGATGGCAATCGATTATTAACGGCCATTTAAATTTTGAAAACCTGGATTTAAAAAGTAAATAAAAGAAAAAGAACAGCAACGGAACATTTGAATATTGAACCCAAAGAAAATGTTATAGACTCCTGGATGTCATCTCAAAAAGGGTTATTTCATATAAAAAGACACTAGATGTTGAAGCGTGATACTTAAACTTATTTATATAGATTTTCCACCAGGTGTATAAATAGCGGTGTCAGGCTTACTGACTGGATTTGTCGATTAGACAGAGGGTAACTATCCAGTCAATTAGTGAGAATTATTGACAGATTTCGGGTTTTGATTAAGGATTACCGGACGTTAAGCAGATCCTTCAAGAACAAGGATTCACTGAAATGGTTAATTATCTTTGGTTGACCTTTTACTTTTTGTTCTTGTTATATATTTATTTATATTTTAATTAAACACTGTTTTATTTTAACATTGGAGTCTTTGGTTAAATTTATTCATTAACAGTTACTGTACGTCAAAAAGTAGTGTTTTCTAGTATGTTGTTTTTGCGGCAAAAGATTTCCTTTTCAGACGTCAGTGAAATTTACGTGTATAGGAGGTGCTGATCCCAACTTGAGAGTCTCCATCTGATGTATAAAAAAAAACTACAACACATAAATAAATCGCATTTCTAACCATACTGATGAGCTTATTTTCAATGGCCATTAACCGTTACTTGTTTTATAATTATTTCAAACGTCCATCGTCCTGATTTCAAACCAAGATCCAGATAAAGAAGTTTAAAACTACCACATGGTTCTTAAAAGTTGACGATGGAAAGTCGAAAGAACTTGATTAAAATTTTAAAATATCCACTTCGGACATTTTATCGCCGTGTTCTTTTAATGAAAGTTCCTGTTACTTTTGAAATGTTCCTCAATCGACATTAATTTCATTTCATTAAACGGATACCTCTCCAACTATATATATTTATATATATATATATATATATATATATATATATATACTCGACTCTCCCGTCGAATTCGACGTATGAGGGTCAAGCAGATCAGTTCCCAGGAAACCGACACAGCCCGACAACAGCACATGAGATTTGATTATAGTGGTGAAGGTTTCGTGCAGGACCATCCACACTTTTTTGAAGGGCCGAATACAGAGACCTGGTGCACTAAGTGCCACAAGGTCCCCAAACGACCCTCCGCAGGTTTTGAATTCAGAGTTGTCCTTCTAGACCAGTTGGCATCCAAGGCTATGGAACCCAGTCTGTCCTGTTATTTACCCATAGCTAGAGGGAGAAGAAGAGGATTCACACCTTTCTCAAGGGTATTAGCACGTAAGTGAATGTAATGGATATATATATATATATATATATTCCTAATCCATATATGTTTCCATTATAGTTGTCTATAATTATATATGTCCATATATATATAACAATTTTTTTATCCTCACCCCCCCACGTGTATTTATATATGTACGCGTGAGTCTGTGTCTTTTGTGTTTGCATGTGTATCTATATGCACTTATTCACACTTTCAGCTACGACTTGGCGAATAGTTTTACAGCCTGCCACATTGAATGATTTAAGACAGAAAAAAAGATAAACTTTAATTTGTGATGAAATTAAAGTCTTTACCGCTAAAGAAACATAAGTGCATGAACCTGAAGAAAAATAACAAAGATGTAAGTGCGAGGCAAAAAAAAAGAGCTTCAAATTCAGTTTTAATTCACTGAGAGTTACACGAAATATCGTTTAATTTACAGTCGACTCTGTTATTCTGTTAAAAAAAAAAACGAAGACAAGCAAATAAATCGACTCTGCATGAAGCCGAGATTCTGAGACAAAAAAAAAAAAAAGAGGAAAAACACAAAACATTATCAGTTTTATTTATCATTTCATATCTGAACGCGGGATGGAAAAAATCGAAGAATATAAAGAAAATTATCAGTGACAATTAAAATGATATGAAAATTGGAATAACTTTCCCATATCGAGTTACATCCGACAGCAAGGCCTCTGATCGGGAGATTGGAGGTTGTGAGGAACACGAAATCGCCTGCTAATTACTCTCTTGTCCCTCAATATGAGAGGATCCTATTGAAAATAAGTAGACAAAACTTGTTTAAATAAGCTATGTCTTAATGAAAACAAATCAAAAATA